ATTGGGTAGGATGGGAATAATATTTAATTTTTAAATCAATACCTGAATTTTGATCAAAAAATATTCTCACTTGATTTTTGCACTCTAATCTTTAAATACCTGATTTTTTATAATTTCTCTTGGGATAAATTGTGGTAGCCCAAAAAACAAAGTCTAATGACAACTAATATAGCATTGGAAAAGGCCCAAGAGTTTTTTATCCAACAAGTATTAGGGCCCGGTGAAAATAAATACCCAAGCCCCATTCTACAGTACTCAAAAGCCCTACTAAAAGTCCAAAATGGTCATCAAATCTTTTTTATTTGGCAAATAGCTCCTGACTACAGGTAAAGAAAGCATTAAGTACGTTTGCCTTCAAAAGTTGATTTAATTAGGATTAATAGCAAAAAAATCCCCTAAAAAATTTCAAATTGTGATATACAGTTATTGAAAACGACAGAAAACCCCCTATTTGAAAATTTGTGAGCGAAAGACCCACTACCGTCAACTTCCATTAGATTTGCCGTTAGAAACAGTAAAAAAAAAAATACCAAAATTAAATAGGAATAATTGCAATTTCAGTACCCAAACTTGTTTTCTTTATAAATTAAGTCCAATTTTTTTATATTTGCCACCTACCATTCCAAATTCATGCAAAAATTTAAAAAAAACCCAATTCAGTACTCTCCAAATTTATTCCGAAAACTCCAAAAATCACACAAATGGAACATAACACAATCTTTATAATAAATTACCTCCAATAATCCCTTCCGGCTTAGGAATGCTTTTGGTATAGCGGTATTTGGCCACCTTCTAACCCCTTTCTGACTTCAGGTCCTGACTTAGATTTTAGATCCCTCATTCCAAACCGACAATTGCCCCTTTGTCCATCAGCATGATCTCTTTACTTTCTCTTTGAATTTTCTCGAGATTCGAGTTGAGGACACAAGTTATCAAGTTGAAACCAATGTCATAGAACTATTACATCCTAGATAGCTTCAAACGGCAAACTGCCCACTCCCAAGTTGTATAGCTATTCATAAACAGTCAATGGACATGGAGCTCAGAGTTCCCTTTCACCACTTTTTTAGAAACATCTTCCTCATTAAATATGGTTCCTTCCCAGTTGCTCTGAATGGATGGGCCCAATTTGCTAGGTCTTTTTTGTTTTGAGGATTCGCAGTTCTATAGGGAGAGTTATCCCTGGATATATTGTGTTCAATGTATCGTCACATGTCATTGGGGAATATTATGAACCCTAAAAGGGTATACTATTCCTTTTCTTTCGTTTCTCTAGGGCCTGCTCGAAATTGGTAATCATCCCCATGCAAGTACACAACTGGAAATAGAGTTTTTCTTCGTTCGAGGTAATTATGGGTCTCAACCCAATGATCCCAACCTTTTGGTTGTAATTCCTTGAATTTATGGTAAGTGCTATGAATCTTAATTCGTTGCTTGTCTTTTTATTTATACTTTTTAGGACCTTCCTATTCGTACTTGTTGGCTTACACTCTGGATTACACTTCCTGACAAAAAGACCAAAATATCCTTTTTCTATCTTTTAGTTAAGTCAAGGTTCTTTATTCCTAATATAGGATACGTTTGA